AGTGGTTAAGAGCTACTGCTGCTAACCAGAAGGTCAGCAGTTCAAATCCACTAACTGCTCCTTGGAAACCGTACGGGGCAGTTCTGCTGTGTCCTTTAGGGTCACTATGAGTCGGAATCGACTGGACAACAACGAGTTTGTTTTTTTAATAGTGTTTTCGATTGTATCTCTTTCTATAACTATTTTTGTGGTTGCTCTAGGTATTACATTATATATACGTGTAACTTAACCACAGTCTACTTGAGTTGACATTTTACTAGTTCAAGTGAAATGTAGAAACCTTACCTCCCTGTACATCTCTTTATCTTCTTCCATTTATAGTTAATTGTCTTAAATATTTTCTGTATACATACGTTGAAAACCACATTAGACAGTGTTATAATTTTTGCCTCAACTGTTAAACCTAATTTAGAGTACTAGAGAGAGGAAAAGTTTATTTGCCTATATTTTTGCGCTTACCATGTTCTTTTTTCCACTCTGATATTCCAAGTTTTTTTGTTGTTGTTTTTTAAATCATGTCCTTTCTGCTTAGAGAACTTTCTTTAGCTGTTGTCTTAGCATAAGTCTGCTGGTGCCAAATTCTTAGTTTTCCATCATCTGAGATTATCTTGATTTTCCCTTCAATCATAAAGGATATTTTCATTACATACATAATTCTGGGTTGCCAGTTCTTTTCTTCCAGCATTGAAAAAATAATACACCACTTCCTTCTGGACTCAGTGGTTTCTGATAAGAATTCTGTGTCGCTCTCGTTATTTTTCACCTTGTAGATAATGTGTTCTTTTTCTCTAGCTGCTTTCAAGATTTTTTGTCTTTAGTTTTCAGAAGTTTGACTGTGATGTGTCTTGGCATGGATTTTGTTAGGTTTATCCTGTTTGAGGTTTGCTAAGCTTCTTGAATTTGTAGATTCTTTTTTTTTTGGTATGTGTCTTAGGCTGGGTTCTCTAGAGAAGTAAAAACAGTGAAACATATAGATGTATATATATAGAGAGATTTATATCAAGGAAATGGCTCATGCAGTTGTAGAGGCTGGAACGTCCCAAGTCTATGGGTCAGGATAGAGGCTTCTCCTGATTCACATAGCCACAGGGGTTGACAAACCCACGATTGGCAGGTTGGAGAGCAGGGCTCTTGCTCACAGGCTGTGAAGATTGACAAATCCCAAGATTGGCAGGCAAGACCGCAGGTAAGCTGCTAGCTCAAATCCCAAGAACCAGAGGTCAGATGAACAGGAGCCAGCTGCAGGATCCAGAACAAGCAAAAGCCCCCTAGCCTTGCCGGAACATCTGCTTATATTTGATGCAGGCTACACGCCCAAGGAAACTCTCTTTCAACTGATTGGCTACTCACAGCAGGTCCCGTCATGGGGGTGGTCACATATCAGATCTCAACAGGGAAGTGATCACAACATCATACAACTGCCAAAACACTGAGAATCATGACCCAGCCAAGTTGACACAATCTTAACCATCACAGTTTGTTTGCCAAATTTAGGGACTTTTCAGCCATTATGTCTTCAATTACTTTTTCAGCCCCACCCCCTTTTTCCTGTGCTTCTGGAACTCCGACGACATGAATGTTAGCACTTTTTTTAGTTCCACAGGTTCCTGAACCTGTGTCCTCTCTCCCCTCCCCCCAAGTCTGTTTTCTCTCTGTTGTTCAGATTGGGTAATTTCTATTGTTCTATCTTGAGATTCACTAATTCTTTGCAGTGTCCCTACTATTCTGCTGTTGAGACCATCCACTGATTTTTTTTTTTTTTTTGGTTATTGTAATTTTCAGTTCAAAAATTTCTTTATACTGTTTCTCTGCTGAAGGTTTCTATTTTTTCATTTGTTTCAAGCATGTCCATAATTGCTCAGTGAAATCGTTTTTATGATGGCTGCTTTAAAATCTCTGTTAGATACTTCTGCTATCTCTGTTAGATACTTCTGCCATCTCTGTCATCTTGTTGTTGGTGTCTGTTAATTGTCTTTTGCATTCAAATTGAGATTTTCCTGATTCTTGGTATGTCTCGTGGTTTTCATTGGGAACCTGGACATGTTGAGCCTTATGTTACAATTCTTTGGATCTCACTTAAACTTTCTCTTTTAGCTGGCTTCCTCCAGCAGTGCCCCAAGAGGAGAAGGGGAGTACTACCTCCTTCCTGTCAGGTGGGGAAAAATTCCAGGCTCCCTCTGGTTCTCCATTGAAACAGAGTGGGAGAGGCTCCTCATGAATACTGGACAGAGGAGGTCTGGCTCCTCTGCTGGAGGGGGAGCTCCCACTGATACCACTCTGGCTGGGAGGGTGAGGAGCACCTTGTTACTCCTCCTCTTGTGGTCTCCACTGACACTGCAGGGGTTGGGGAAGGTGGCCTCATTACTACTGAATGGTGGTGAAAGTCCTGACTGTCTAATAGGCCTCTCTGACACCACCCCAGCAAGGAGAGAGGTGGGTAACTTTTTATTGCTTGGTATGATGGAAGCCGTGGTTCTTCACATGAAAATCACAGAGTGAGGGTTACCTTTGTTACTTCCCAGTGGGGATGCAATTCCTAACTTCCAAGTTGGCCTTCTTTGACACCACCCCATCAGAGGAGTGGGGCACAAGTCGTCATATCATCACAAAGGTGAAAGTGTAAGCTTCCTACTCTGTTTTTGCTGGTGTAGTGGGTTGGGGGTAACACCATAGTCTTTTCTGTGGTGTTTGGCTGGAGTAGAGCAATTATTGTCTGTTAGTTTTCTGTTTTGCTAGGCTGCCTCTTTTCCTGGTTCTTTGGCTTTTGTTGGGGCCTTTTTTTTTTTTTTTTTTTTTTTCTGTGCTTCTTGGTTTTTCCTGGTTGCCAGCACCATTAGTTGTCAATCTGGGATTTTTGAGGTAAAAAGAAAACCCAGAGTACTCACGACTGTGTTGTTCTTCAGGTCGTGTGGTCTCTAGCCAGTCTGCCACCTTTTCTCTGCTTTTCAGAGTCTCATGTTTGTTTTATATATAATGTCCAGAGTATTTAAAGGGTAAAATGAAATAAGTTTTTTGTTGTTTCTTTTTAACTTCTCACTCTTCTAGAGTGAAGAATTGTTTAGGTAGAGAGGAAAAAGTTGCTGGCCAGGGACCGAACAAAGGCTGTGAGGCTGAAATTATTGAGAGAGTGGAAGATTGGTGTGAGATAAAGCTGGATGAGCAGGAGCCAGATCATAGTAAGAATTTCAGATTTGACACTAAATGTCCTGAAGACCAGACCTCTATGTAGGGTAGTTGTATCCTTGTTGTTGTTACTGATGAGTCAGTTAAGACCTATGGTGACCCCCTGTGTGCAAAGTAGAACTGGGCTCCATAGAGTTTCCAAGGCTGTGACCTTTTGGAAGCAGATTGCCAGGCCTTGCTTCTAAGGTACCTCTGAGTGGGTTTGACCTGCCAACCTTTTGGTTGGTAGTCCAGTGCTTACCATTTGTGCCACCCAGGGACTCCTAGACCATTTAAATTCTATGCTTGGAAGATGGGATCCAGGCATCAATTTTTTTTTAAGTTTTCCAAGTGATTCTAGTGTGTAGCCAAGATTGAGAACCATTAGACTAGGGTTAATGTTTCAGAAAATTACCTGATTATAAGAATCACTTGTAGGGGTATTTATTTGGATCCTCCAGGAAGCAGATGCCAAGATGGAATTAGAAGTGCAAGGGATTTATCAGGGGGAGTACCTCTGAAGGATAAAGGGGAGAGCCTTCATACTACAATGCTAGTTTAACACCTGTGAAAGGAAAGAGGAAGGAAGGAGGATTGGGTGGAAAGAAAATCTCAACCAGTTTGAAGGAGAGCCCCAGAGCAAAGGTGAATCCCACATAGGGCAGAATTGGCCTCACTCTAGTGTACGCTTACTGTGCTCAGCCTTCAGCTTGAGACTGAAGAGCGTGACCTTGGTGTAAAGGGACAGTGCAGTGGATGCTGCAGGTATGGAAGCTGGAGGCAACCAGCCAACTATTCTTGTAGCATTTTCTCTTTTAAAGGGAGAGCTAAAGGCAAAAACCAGATTCCAAGGCCCTTCCTCAGAGATTTTATGCTAAACTATCTGATTAATCCTATCTAATATCTGATTAATTATGTTTGGTGTGGAGACCCATAGCGGTACTTTAACAAGTGCTCTTGGATGATTCTTATGATCAGGCAAGTTTGTGAAATACCAGGGACAAAGAAGGGAATCTTCTTTACATTTCAGAATCATTTTGTGTAGTGGTTGTGTAGATGGATTTTCGGTTAAAGTAGTTGGAATATAATAGCAAAGTGGGATGAAGCATAACTAAGTTTATGAAGAAATGTGAAGAAATTGACTTTGTATTCTCTTCAGCCAAAAATACAAACAGTACACATTTTATTACTTTTTATTGTATGAGTAACTATAACTAGTCTGAAACTAAAGTTGTGTGTGGTGTTTATACATTATTATACAAAATCTTCCTTTGGGGTGCTTTTCTAGGGATGTTAATGAAAAGCAGTTTCCTCAGATTTTTTATTTGTTGCCCATTTGGTTTGTACATGGTGGAGAATTTATTATATTGTATGAAACTACCATTTTTTGAATGCTTAACTTAACTATTCTTTGTGCTTTCTGTGTGTCACTGATCAACAATCCTGTGAGGTAGATATTACCCCCAGGAAACTGAAGCTTAAAGAGGTTAAGCAATAACTTGACTAAGAACACAGAACTAGTAAGTGGCAGGTTTAAATCGGGCCTCAACTCCAACGTCCACAGTCTTCATCTTTATGAAAGGAAAAACTACGTAGATTTAGGCATTTATTGATGCCTGGATGTCAGATACTGTGTTAATGGTAAGGATTAGAAAATGAATGGCGTTCTTGTCCCTCCTTTCAAAGAACATATATTATCTAAAAGGGGTGGAGGGGGGCCCTCCATTATGGAAATAAGTTCTTGCAGTGCAGTGTGATTATTTCTCGATAAAACAATTATAGCTTAGTTTATTTTGTGCAGTTTTCATGTCATTAAAAAATTTCATTTTAAACCACAGATTTGAGAGAGAAGATCTAATCACCTGGAGTTAGAGCTGGTACAGAAACTCCTTTTCAGCTCTAAAAATGTTGGAGGAAGATATGGAAGTGGCCATCAAGATGGTGGTTGTAGGGAATGGAGCAGTTGGAAAATCAAGTATGATACAGCGATATTGCAAAGGCATTTTTACAAAAGACTACAAGAAAACCATTGGAGTTGATTTTTTGGAGCGACAAATCCAGTATGTACTTGGCCGTTTTATCCCCTTAGTTTTGGTTTGTGAACTATGTCCAAGACTTTCACTGGAATGATGCTAATTACAACACACAGCCCAAGGTTAAGCAGCTAGTGGGAGTGACTCATAAGACATTTGGTGATGGTTTTTAATTGCTCATTCCTATGTATATCTTTATCCTTCTGTCTGTCTTTTTCCTTTTCTTTTGTCTTCTTTCCACTCTTATTTCCATTTTTCTTCTACTTCCCAACTCCCTTTTTTTTTTCCTGTCTTACATCTGTTTTATATTTGTTGGTGGCATCATGAGCACTTCTTAAACACAAACTAATGCTTGACTCTAATGAGATTTCCGTCCCCTGTTCCATTTGAAAGGAAAGTTACCTGTCTCAGAATAAAGTTTTTATCTCTTATATTAAGGGATCTTTTTGTTTAGAATGCCTCTTCATTCTCACTCTCTCTCAAACTGGGCAAGACTGCATAGAAGTTAGAGAATTAATGATTTGTTTTTACTTAATTTAAAGAAATTTGAGAACACAGATTTTAGAAGAATTAAATATTCCTATGAAAAGGAAATACTACTTCAGGAAACCCAATTGGATTCTAAAATATTTCAAAGTAGCACTGTCATCAGTCCTACAAACTTTTAAGGCTGTTTTAAATTGTAGAAGACAAACTAAAATGTGTTACAGAAATAAGAAACGTTACATAAGTCTGACTTACTTATCCAGACATGAGCATCAAAGGTAATTGTGTTCATTGGTTTTAAGACTGTTGAATTTCTAATTTGTATCCTATTACCGTCCTTTTTTAAAAAATACTTCCATATTTGCTTCCTTCCTTAGAGTATATTTTCAATTTTGATGATGCTTATTTTTTGTACTTATTACCTGAAGCCAAATTAATATTTTAACGTTTGAGTTAAAGGGCAACCAAGCAGGTAAGCTGCTTCTTTCCCTTCTCCTTCTTATTCTGTCACTAGGGGACCAGAACCCATTAGAGTGGTGTAGCGAGAGGAAAGCAAACCCTGACCTAAGGGACTTCTCCTTTTCCAACACTGCTAGTCTTAGAGCCACCACTATCTGTGACTGTTGTCAAAGAAAAAAACATGACAGGTAAATCTAACTCATCTGTAAAATTACAGCTTTGTCTTTCACCCTTTACTTTCACTGTTGGTGATGGTCTCAACATTTGAAAATACTCAGACTTTTTCCCAAGTGAAACCAACAGTGTAGTTTTAATACCTTCACATTTCAAATACAAAAACATACATGAAGCTATATTACTAAAAACATCTTCCTTTACATATGAAATTCATCTCTTGTTTCAGAGTTAATGATGAAGATGTCAGACTAATGTTATGGGATACAGCAGGTCAAGAGGAATTTGATGCAATAACAAAGGCCTACTATCGAGGTAAATTGTGGGATTTATTTTTGTTTGTTTAGGCATGTTCTTTTTGCTAAACAAAGAACATCGTTATTTCTCATATAGGATCTCTTTAAGAATAATTAAAATAATCTCAAAGTATTTTTAAAAGCCTAACTGTTATTCTTCTAAAGATCTTGTTGGGTGGCAAATAATACTTTGTACTATAGACAGTTTGTCTCTGCCTTAGAATTATATGAGTCATATAGGCTCTGTAGATAAAATCAATCAGACTCTGTTGAATACCTACTCTGACCACATATTTTCCCCAAGGAAATTAATATTAGAGAGTAGGAACTAACATATGAAAAGATGAAACCCCTGCAGATAAGGTGGCATTGTGTTGTGACACACAAAATCAAATGTAAAGCCTTTTCAGCACTCACCAGAGTCAGAAGTAGTATAAGATGTGAGAGGAAGGAACCATAATTACAGCCTTTAAGGCTCTAACATGCGTGACTAAATTCCTCAAGAAAAGCTTGTTTGCTAAATGAAACTTAAAGTTTCCAGTAACATTGTCCTATAAAATTTTGTCATTTTCTTTTAGAATTTAAAGCATGATTTTCAGTTTTTTTCCAATTCACTGCCAATGGTGATGGTAATGAGAGAGCATAATAACTTAAAGCTTGATCTAGTAGCATGTAGCATTATAACCTGTTGATGCCAAGTGACCATTAACTGATAATTCATACTGAGAAGTATTTAGTACTCTGCATTTTCCAGATGCTGTGGGAGACAAAAAGGAACAGTGGCGATAAAAAGGAACAGATTATCACCTCTGTGCCATCCCCACTCCTCTGAACTTTGCACCTTCTTGCTCTAACTAAAACTTGATTTAAAGATACTGCTTCTCCTGCGACCTTCTTTTTACCCACATTTTCACGTTCTTCTAGACCTGAAGGTCGTTTGACAGGATTGTCTTTTTTTCTCACTGCTGCTTCCAAACCATTCCTCTTCCTCCCTCCTTCAAAAACCTCAGCACCTTGAAAGCCCAAGTCATGAGAGTTTATCTCTCACTCACCCCCCTCCCCCAGTTGCCATGGTCCATCACTTTCCTTTATGTGTTCTTCCTTCGTTGGCATGAAAAACTTTGGCATAGAAACTTGTCTTACTGTCACCCACCTTGAAAAAGGTCTTCCTTCCCTTGACCGACATCTATTTCCAGTACTGTTCCATTGCCCTGCTTCCCTGCATAGCAAAACTTCTTTCTAAGAGTTGGTTATACTTGCTATTTCCATCCTCACACCTCTCATTCTTTCCTCAAACCATTCCATTAGACGTTTCGTTTCCCCATCATTCCATTGAAACTGCTGTTATAAAGGTCTCCAGTGACCTCCAATTTCTCTTCAGCTTCCTCATCTTACTCCATCTCTCAGCCCGTTTGTCAAAGCTGTCTACTTTGTCTTCCTTGAGATAATTTGTTTTCTAGGCCAGTACTTCTCAGACTTCAGTTGCACTTGAATCACTTGGATATTTTGTTAAAATGCAGCTTCTGGTTTTTTAGTAGGTTGGGATAGGGCCTGAGACTCTGCATTTCTAACAAGGTCACAGATGGTACTGCTGCTGCTCCATGGGCTACTTTTATAAACCCCCGAGTCTGATCATGCCACTTCCTTGATTAAAACCCTTAAGTGACTTTTTATTGCTAGAGGAAGAAGTTCAGGCATTTTAGCACGGCATACGCAGGGCTCTGTAGTTGTTTTTCTCCTTGTTCATCTAGCCTCATCTCCTTACCTGTACTTCACTCTTGACAAATTCCTAAATTATTTCTTTCCCATATGTACTATAGAATGTGTACATGCTATAGGTATTTCAGATGCTTTCTTTTCCCACTGGATCTGCCTATCAGCCTTCTACTTTAGAGTCTAACTTAGAAATCTTGTTAACACCTTCTCTAACCTCCACCCCTGAAAAAGTTTACTTTATTTTGAGCTACTTCTGTATCTATTGCATTTATCACACTATGTAGTGTTTGCATATTTATCTTTCCTAACCGACGGTGAGGGAGCCCTGGTGGCACAGTGGTTAAGCGCACAGCTGCTAACCAAAAGGTCAGCAGTTAGAACCTACCAGCCGCTCTGCGGGAGAAAGATGTGGCAGTCTGCTTCCCTAAAGATTTAAACCCTATGGGGCAGTTCTACTCTGTCCTGTAGGGTCGCTGTGAGTTGGAATTGACTCGATGGCAACTGGTTTGGGTTTTTTTTATTTTAACAGACTGTGAGTTCCTTAAGATTCTATCTTGGGGAGTTACGGGGTTTTTTTTTTTTGGTCTTTGTCTACCTAGCACCTTGCTAAAGTGAATTCGGTTGCCCTTAGGGAACAGTATCATTTAAGTGAGATTTTCCTTGCTACATCCCACAGCTTCATTTTACTTATCAGATGTTTCCACTTTGATCTGAAGTTACAGGTGAAAAGGGTATACATTTATAAATATAAATTAATTCATTTAATTTATGAAATGAAAAACGGCATTTGTTCTCTGGACTGGACTCCCCAAGACAATAGGATCCTGTCCATCTTGTTTGTAGATGCCCTATGCCTACTCCTCAAGATTTGAAGTTTCATTTAACAAATTTGAAATAGCAGTGTACCAGTATGCTTTTCTTGAAGAAATCTATATATATGAAAGTTCCAGTTGACAGTGCTAATAAATTTTGGGGTACAGTTTCATATAAACACAAACTTTTCTAATTTTAGACAGGATTTACCACTGATTTTATTGTAAGTAGCTTGCTACTCTAGTGTATCTACAAATTTATTCCTGTTACATAATATATGTATAAGAAATAGGGTGAATCCAAGCAGCTTTTGAATATATAACTTACTTTTTCCACTTTAGAAAATGTAGATTTATTATAGTAATGGCAGCTGAGGCCTAATAAAAACAATTAAACTGACATGTCAGTGAACAAGGACGTTGGGTTTCCAAATTGGTACCAAGGAAACTTAACCACTGCCCACTCTAAGAAAATGTTTTGATCCCTTGAGAATCAAGAGTAGTATACCTCTCAGCTGTCATCCTAATAATGCCACCACTACTTACTGCTCGCTCTATTTAATGTGTCCTTAAAGGCTCCCCATCCAGAAGTCAGCACAGCGGGACTAAACCAAAGCTAAGAAGTTTCCTGAATACAACCAAACACTTCGAGAGACAGAGTAGCAGGGGAGGGGGCCTGTGGACCATGGTTTCAGGGGACATCTAGGTCAAGTGGCATAACAAAGTTTATTAAGAAAATGTTCTGCATCTCACTTTGGTGAGTGACGTCTGGGGTCTTAAAAAGCTAGTGAGCGGCCATCTAAGATGCATCAATTGATCCCAGCCCACCTGGAGCAAAGGAGAATGAAGAACATCGAAGACACAAGGAAAGTATTAGCCCAAGAGACAGAAAGGGCCACATAAACCAGAGACTTCATCAGCCTGAGACCAGAAGAACTAGATGATGCCCGCAACCACCAGTGACCGCCCTGACAGGGAGCACAACAGAGAGTCCCTGATGGAGCAGAAGAAAAGTGTGGGGCAGAACTCAAATTCTAGTAAAAAGACCAGACTTAATGGTTTGATTGAGACTGGAGGGACCTCAGAAGACATGGCTCCCGGACTCTCTGTTAGCCCAAAACTAAAACCATTCGTGAGGTCAGCTCTTCAAAGATTAGATTGGACTATGGGACATAAAATGATACTCATGAAGAGTGTACTTCTTAGCTCAGGTAGATACATGAGACTAAATGGGCAGCTCCTGTCCAGTGGCGAGATGAGAAGGCAGAGAGGGTTAGGAACTGGTTGAATGGGAAATCAAGGGTAGAAAGGAGGAATGTGCTGTCACAGCATAGGGAGAGCAACTAGGGTCACATAACAATGTATGTATAAATTTTTGTATGAGAGACTAACTTGAACTGTAAACTTAAAGCACAACAATAAAAAGATTTTTAAAATAGTAAAAAAAAAAAAAAAAAAAAGGGGGGGCTTCCCATCCACAATTGCTTTGTATATTGTTCTCTTCTGGGCCTAGACTCCAGTTTGGATCTGGATAACGTGTGAGATGGGGAGTTACATTCTTACTTACCCAAGCTCTTCTTAGAGTAGATGGTATTTTTATCAAATTATGGATTTCATCAGCATTGACACTGTTTGATTAATGGGTCCTAAATGTACAGTTTTATTCTTGAATAAAGGTCATTTGTGTTTTTCAATAGGGTTATTATCCTCCCTCCCCCGCCCCCGCCACACAAACACAAGAAAAAACAAAATACCAAAAGTAGTACAGATGATTTTCATTATTTTCTTTTTACTTAGCTCTGTTTTTGAAATTCTCTGCATGGAATATGTGTTCTTTTAGTAAGGAAAAAAATAGCTTGGGCTGTTTCTTTGTAAGCTTTGGACAATTTGATAAGGCAATATTATTTTTTAACCAGTATGGTTATTTGTGAAGAATATATTTGCAAAAATATACATATAATTTAAAAAGACAGAACTGTGAATCTACAGTTATCTTAGAATAAAAAGTTTAATTAAAAGCAAAACTGGCCAAATATGGAAAATGATTTGTGAATAAGTAAAGAGAAAACGTTGGAACCATACAATTTAGTACATTATTTGGGTTCCTGATTTAAAAAGAAAAAGAAAAACAAGCTAAAAATATTAAATTGTCCTCTCTGGTTGAGGTATTGTTGGTGCTTTGTCTGACTTTTGCCGTAACTGGTTTAATCAAGACTGTCCAAGATTATTCACTTTTAATGTTTTTTATCTGGCTGATCTAGTTTGTTGTACTTCCTATTACAGTTCAGTTGTTTTTTTAGGTCTCCGCAAATCATACTATGTCTCTTTAAATCTACAGAAACCATTCTTTGCCAGAAACTATAAAGAGAGCCCATAATTACTAATATTTACATCTTAATTTACTTTGGGTGATGTTTAAATTACTTCCACTGTGTTTCATTTGCATTAAATGCTTTAAATAGCTTTGTTTTCCCTATATTTAACATTTTAA